CCCGGCGCCTCCTCCACTGCCCCCACGCCAGTGATGGTGCACTTCAACTATCATCCCGACAAGCACGCGCGCATGCTGTGTATTATGGACAGGTACGGCAGAGGGGGGAAAGGGGAATGCCGGCCTCGCTACACCGCACATATGCACACCCTGACGCGAAGGGGCACAAAACGCAACGGCCTGTAGCACCCCTTTAATAGCTTAAACCCCGCTGCAATACACACAGCAGCACCACACATACAGACATACACGCAGCTCCCCGTACCCGCAGGTCAGTTTATGAAAACACACGGCCGTCCGTCCCTTCCAAATCCGTGCATGTTGTGCATGTGATCTCCCCCCCATATCCCCCCTCCCCTCCCATATCCCCCCTCCCCCCCCTTTATCCCCCCTCCCTCCAAACCCCCCTCATCCCCCCAAACCCCCCTCCGGGGTCCCTAACCCCCTCTCCCCCCTCTCCCGCACTGTAGGTACTTCCGAGGTAAACTGGACGCGTGTGACAAGTTCCCCGGGGGCTCGGAAGCGGGCACCAGATGAAGGGGAGGAGGAGGAGGAGAAGGAGGGAATACTAGTGGCAATAAGGGGCGGAAGGGAAGGAGAACACGGCCCTAGCCCCTCGACTACGTTGTGAGCTCACATGGAGGTTTAAATCGGCGTGGGTGGGGTCGTGAAGACGTGGCCAGTCACGAGCGCTCTTGTCGTAGTGTGACATTGGCAGATGGGTTGTGTGATGTCAGCTCTCGCGCGATTTTGGGCATTTTGAGCCCCCCGGGGATTGAGTGGCGGGGCTGATGTGGGTGGGTGTGCGAGTGGATGTGTCTGTATGTATGTATGTATGTATGGAGGGGAGGAGGGAGGCAGGGCGAGGCAGGGCGAGGGAGGGAGGGGGGCTTCTTGCCAGGTATGGGATGGGGGGAGGGGTGGCTGGCGCGGGGTGGAGTGAAGTCCTGCGAAGAGAAGGGGTAGCTAGGTAGGTAGTTAGGTAGTTAGGCAGGTAGGTCGGTAGCTAGGTAGGTAGTGTGTTGGGAGTGAAACAGAGTGAAGTAATAACGAATGAATGAATGATAGCTTTGTGCGAATCGGCGTTACGTATCGCATCGAAATCGGATCCCCTCTCCTCTCCCAAACCGGGTCCCCACCCGCATTCGTACACTTTCCAAACTCACATAATCCAAATTCGGATCCGCAACCGAACCGTGGATTGGAACTGGAACTAGAGCTCTGGTGGGACACGAGAGCGCGGGTACATGTACTCCTGGGGGTTTGCCTGTGTGTTTATATGTTGTTACTGCACACTGTGTGTTTGGCATATCACAATCTACGACGTAACTGCACGACACGGGTCGTACAAACGGCTGTACATTGTTCGATGCGCGACGCCGATACGTGGCCCCGGTGTGTACACGTGTGCGTGCGCATGTATGTATGTATGTATTTACGCCTATTTGTCGGTGGCCCCAGCGGTGGGGTAGAGGCATGGGTGAGGATAATTACACACGTACACACGGGCGGTGGGGGGAGCGTGGAGAGGGAGGAGGAGAGGGAGGGGGAAAAGGAGCATTTCGTGTTTGGGAGGTGATTTCTTTCGTTCTTTGCGATATGCCTTGTACAGTTAAGTCCTTGGGGGTTTCGATAAGAACGGAGCATTTGGACCAACAAGACGACCAGGCGAGCGGATTTGTACTTGGGGTACCACACCAGCAACGGTGTGTATTTATAAAAAAACAACACCAGACGCGAATGCGGGTGTGTATACTTTATGTATAGTTTATATTACATGACATTACAGCACATCGTGAGCACAAGTGGGGTCGTGCTGCAGCGGCAGTAGCAGTTGAGGTTGCGCAACATCAGCATCAGCAGCGGCGGCGGCGGCAGCGGTGATTGTGATGCGCCAAAAAAAGTCCCCATGGTCATCACCCCGTCGTCATCACCATCCCGGTCATGGTCAGGCCGTACCGTTCAACTCCACAAACCACAGCTCTTGATTTCACACTCGCACACCATATCTCATGTACAACACTCTCAAGACTCCCAGAGATTCGTACATACATAGATACAAACATACATACACATATATGTATATACCTGTATGATCTCCGGACCACTCTCATCCGCCCTCCTCTACCTGCTCCCCCTCATATAATCACTAATCGCCGGCTTCGCTTCCCCCACCGCCGCCGCCGCCGCCTGACTTCTTCTTTGGCAGCGTCCGCCGCCGCTTCGCCGCCACCCGCTGATGCTCCCCACCAGCTGCAGCAGCAGCAGCACCGTCGGCGCCCCTGCCGCCGCCACTCGCCCCAAACACCGCCTCCACCAGCGCGCCGTCCTCCGCCTTGCGGTTCTTCTGTTGTTGTACGGCAACCGTCTTCTTGATCTTCTTTTTTGCCGCCAGGGGGTTCGGGCCCTGGGACGAGATGTTGGCGGGAAAGCGGCGGTGTGTGGGATACCTTCGAGGAGGAGCAGGAGGAGGACGCGAAAGAAAGGAGGAGGCCTTCGTCCCTCCCATCACACACGTACACATAGACGTACACATACACATACACGCACACGCAACATCCCCACCCGCACCCCCGGCACAGCAACCCACCCCCCATAACTCTCTCCCCCGCCACCCCAACCCCCAAATCCCCATCCCCCCAACCCTAGCTGGCCACGTCGTCGCGATGGCTACTCTGCCCAACTCTGTCGATATCGGTCGGTAGCTGCTCACAACAACTTCAGCAACTGAGCGGTATCAGTGTCTAATCCTGGACTATCCGTCTACCTCCGGTATCTGCTTGCTTCACTCAACCGTGGTTCGTCTTACCCCCCATTCGCCCCCGCCAAAACCAAGACAGCCCCCGCAGTACCTTGGCCTTGTTCCTCCGAAACCGTGCGCTGGTGGTAGCTGGGGGCATGGGGCCCCCCCCTCCCCCTCCCGCCGCCGCCGCCAGCCGCCTCCGCTGCCTCTCCCTCTCCTCCCTCCGCAGCTCAGCCAGCTGGTCCTCCCGTAGCAGGGGCTCGGCCGCCCGCTCGCGGCGGGAAACCAACTGTGTGGCTGCCTCAGCCTGACATACATACATACATACAGGGGATGGAGTGAGAAGTAGGGGGGTATGTGGGCCGGGGGAAATCATATGCAAGGAAAACCAGAAATGAAGTGCCGGTGTCTAAAAGTGCGAAGGTGGGGGGAGGTTACGGGCCCAGGGTTTTGCGGGTTGAGGAGGAGGCGGTGGGGGTTAAAGGCGGGGCCCCGTGGTGGTGGTGGGCGGAGGAGGTGTTGCAAAAGAAAGGAAACTCCGTCCGTGAGCACTTAGCCCGCCCGCAACACTCCGGCCCCCAATACCCCTCGCACGCATACACCCGGTCATGCACATACATACATACATACATACATACATACATACATACATACATACACACAAACACGTGGACCCACCCCTCTACTCTCACCTCCTTGGCCTTCTGTCGCGTGACCTCGGAGGGCGTCTCCAAATGGACTCCGTTGACCGTGGCGAAAACCAACGGACACCCAGGAATCTACACACGCAGACGTACGACATCCGTACAATGAGTGCAACGTACATGTGTACGAGCACTCTCTGTTGTTGTGCAGTTGGGGTCGGATATTGTAAACTAAGCAGACGAAGAGGTGCGCTGCAGCCTCAACTGATTTCCTGTATACATGTGTGTGTGTGTTCGTGTCTGGTATGTGCTACCCGTCCGGTACCGTACCCCTAACTCCCCTCCCAACGTCAACTACCCCTTCACCACCCCACCACTTTTTAAACACCCGCTGTCACACACACACACACGCTCATACACACACACGTCCTCCCCTACAACCCCCCACCTGCCCCAGCTCCCGCCTCAAAGCCGCGTCTTGCGTAGCCACAAACCAGTGCTGCTCGTTGCTTTTACCTGCGTCGTTGGAGGAGGTGAGGGGCGGGGGGTTGGTGTCGAGTGTGTGGGGGGGGTTAGGGCGCGAGAGGATTAACGTTCCACACCATATCACCCTCAGAGGACACGTCCGCGACCCTGGCGCAGCCAGCCCTTGAGATGCTGCATGGCATTACCAGCTGCCGGCTGCCGGAGCTCCAAGCTGCAAGAGTGGCGCCACACAGCCCGACAGCCACAGCAACCCCGGGCACACAGCCACACCCCCAGCCACAGCAGCAGCCACAGCAGCCAGCGATACCAACGACAAGGTACACGACCGCTCCACACACACCCAACAGCGTCCCCGGCAATGGCCATAATCATGATAAGCGGGGCGCATGGTGGCAGATCCCCCGGGGGGGGGGGGGGGGAAGGGGGTCCACAATAATCGTCCCGCGTACACGCCTGACGGTCTGCCTAGCTACATAGCTACACCGCTGCAGGGTCGCGGAGGAGGAGGTGGAGGAGGAGGAGGAGAAACTGGGGCGCCTGATGGCAGCCTTCGTACAAGAGGCACTGGAATTGCAGGAACAGGCGCCGACCCATCGCCGACGAGGCCGAACTAGAGCCGCTTCCAGTCCTAGTCCTACAGCACCCTGGGCCGCCTGGGGTGCCCCGGGGTACGGTGGGGTGTGGGGGGGCTGTTTGGCGTCTTGTGATGTGAGCTCTCTTTGCGCTCTCCTTCTGTTTGAGAGGCGTTTTTGAGCTTGGTGACCTCCCCAGCCCGAGATAACTCGTCGGGCTCCCGGTCGCCCAGGTCCTGAACACTCTCTTCATGCTCTTCCGAGGTTTTCTCTTTTCTGGACTTTCCGCTTAAAAGGAAGAACTCCCCGGGTGCGTGTCTGCCCAACCCCCCGCACTGTGCGTTTTTCGGCCCCGGGGCCCCCGGGCTTTGAAGCCCACAATGTAATCAACGACGTACATACATACATACATACATACATACATACATACATACATACATACATACATACATACATACATACATACATACATAGCCGGTCGCTCGACAGGGCACCTCCACGCGAAATAGGGGGGAGAGGGGGAAGGAGGGGAAGAGGGAAGGAAGGGAAAGACGAACCACATGCGAGCGAAGCAGGGGACGAAAGGAAGGGAAGGAATCTTTCTCTCCTTTCCTTTCCTTCGCACACTTCTCTCACCGATGACAGCTCGAATGCAATCCGCTGCAGATGTGGGCTTCTTCTCCTCCTTCTCCTGGCCACCACCACCACCACCACCACCACCACCACCACCCTCCAACCGCGCCGCCGTATCGCCCTCTTCCATCCCCTTCTTCCGCTTCCTCTTCTTCTTTTGCTGCTGCTGCTGCTGCTCGTCATCTTCCATGCTCCGGTGATGGGATTCCTGTCCGTGTTCGTGATGCTGCTGGTGGTGGTGGTGTTCGTCGTCTCCATGTCCGCACTTGTGTAGAGTGAAGGACCTGGCGGCCGCTGTCGTGGCGGAGAACTCGGAGCCCAGAGACCGGAGCTCCCCCGTGATGCACCTGGGAGCGTGTGTGTGTGTATGTGTGTGTGTGTGTGTGTGTGTGTTTGGGGGGATGAGGGGGGGAAGGGGCGGGGGAAAGATACGCGGGGGTGCAAAGTTGGAGAGAGAAGTTGAAAACCCCGGGAAAGCTTTCCCTACTTCGGATGGGGTTGCGGAAAGAGGGCGTGGATCACATGATGCCAGGAAATGAACCAGAAATGAAGTGTCTGTCGGGAGAGGACGTCCAAAGTCCGAGAAAAAAAGGGTGAGATGGGAGATAAGATGAACCCCACAGACGATTGAAGCAGATACCGGAGATCGACCGGGGGAAGAGGGGGGAGGAGGCGGGGGGAGGAGGAGGGGGGAGGAGGAGGAGGGGGGAGGAGGAGGGGCGAAAGGGATTTCCCCGGAAGGAAAGGAAGAGGTTCCACAGCGAGGGGTCCAGAGGTCCAGGTAGGCACGGAGAGCAAATCAACACCCCCCTTCCACGGCTACTCAAAAATGACCCTCTTAAGACCCCCCACCCCGCAGCGGTCCTTCTTGCTCGGAAGATTTGGCGGCGGTGTGTTTACCGGCTAGGTCGACATGCCACCCTGTCCATTCGGTTCGCCTCCTCTAATAGCCCTCCCGTCCCTCGCGCTCTCTTTCTCTCTCTTTTTCTCTCCGTTGCCCCCCTAACTAACTCTCTTCTCGTTCTCGGCATCCCAACGACTAACCAACTAATTAACCAACTTACTTGGTCGTGTAGAGCTTGCAAGATCCACCTAGCAGCTTGGGGATATGGCTGTCCAGGTCAGATAGACTGGGACCGGTACGGCAGTACGGCAAAGAGGATAGGAAGGCGGCATGCGTCAAAAGGTGAGCGCGGGGAGGACATCGCATTTCGGGGCCATCCCCTCCCCAGTCTGACTGGGATGGTAGGGGGAGAGACAGCAGATACTGGTGTATGTATATATGTATGTATGTATGTATGTATGTATGTATGTATGTATGTATGTATGTATGTATGTATATATGTATGTATGTATGTATATATGTATGTATGTATGTATGTATGTGAGGGAAAGAGTGTAAATGTTCGTGTGCACGAATGTCTGCTTACGTTCGTGTGTATGTGTGGGCGTGTGTTTTAGTTGGATTGCTGCTACGCGCGATGGAGGGCGGGAGGCCCGCCAGCAGCAGCAGCGGCGGCAGTAGCAGAGCAAGAGAGCAGTAGCAGACGCTACAACATCTCATTCGGAGTGGCGGCGTTCAAACGTCCCCCCGCACTTAGCCCCTTACCCCTCTCCCACACACCCAAACCACCATAACTGTAACCCATCGTTCTAAACCCCGCGTAAGCTCCCTCTAACGCTACATGTCTTTTGCGCTCCTGTCTCCATCCCCGCCCCAGAATAGGCCACGGCCTTAGCAGGTTTACAAAAAGGTGCGCGCCCTAGGCGTACTTGAGTGCCCTGGTAGCATGGATGAAGTTCCCGTCCAGCAACACTTTGTAAGGTTCGTGGAATCCATAATTGATGCGATAGTAGTTTGTAGCTCGACGCGTCTGCTTGTGCTTCTTCCGTCGCATCTTCCGTCGATAAGGGCGGCGGCTGCCGGTGTTAACGGATTATGACCTCTATGAGGGTTTTATCGAGCAATATGGGATTTTGAGCTAAATTGATTGTTACGTACACTTGTGTGCTTAGCAAAGCGCAAGGATGGAGAGCGAGAAAACAAACGGTTAAGGAGAAGAGCCTAGACCTCCCACTTTTGAACAAGATAGCGTGATGCTCTGGCTGTAGTAATTGCAGGCGAACATGCATATATAGTAAACCTATATGAACTGTAAAGCTGCAAAGAAGAGCATGTATAAGCCGTCCGGTACCGGTATCGTCCCAACCGTCTTCAACAGGGCGATGGCAGCTTGGTAGGCTGGCATAGGCTGCGGCAAAACATAATGTAACTCATGTCGCTAAAAGACTGATCCGATGCAAATCTCAATAAAATGCATTTCCGTCCTTTGTTCGGTTCATTCTTACTGGTGTTTCCGACGCCTTGAAGCCTTCCGTGCAGCATCCCACAAGCCAGAGTTTTTCAAACAAATATCTCTATAACGTAGTAATCACTTTTTCCTCTTGTATAAGGCTCGCCTCCCTCGGCCCCGCTTCTACTCTTCCATCAGTCCTGGACGACTCAAACCGCACCTCTCAACCTCAACCCCCAACGTGGCGCCTCCGGATCTGACCCCGTGGATATTATCTCTCCAGAGCGCTATTTCAGCTGCCCCCACCACCCGAGACCGCCGCCTCCGGGAATCGAAGTCCGTTCCCCGCCTCCTCGTGATACACTGCCCTACCTGATGTCCGACCCACCATCATCCCCGCACAAGGCCACCGTGGACTCGGGGTCGTACCCTTTTTTCGTTGCCGTACATTGTGGAGCTGGGGCCCACGCCCCTGTCAAGGAAGCGGCCTACAGGTAAAAGTGCGCCTCACCTCTGGACAGACAGACAGACAGACAGACCGTGATACATGTGGCCACACAAGTCCCCCGGCATCAGCCTCTCCCATCCAAACACAACTGCCAACTGACAAACCCCTGAAATGTTGGCCCACCTCCTTTCCCAGGGTCTTCCCCACACACACAGCACGTGCATATCTTAGTTTGGACTTTTAAGTCATTACATCGCTTATGGCGCGTAAAGTTGCGCAATGCGCAAAGTGACCAGTGCTGGCAGTTCATTTCGTTAAACCTTAGATCTACATCTACATCTACATCTACATCTACATCTATTTTAACACACCGTACATGCACGGCCATACATGACTTTTGGCAGGCAAGCCATGACGGCGGCATGCCGTGCAGCCGCGGCGGTATTGGCGTGCGGCGGCTCGGCAGAGGCGGGCGTAGCGGCTGCGGTACGGGAGCTGGAGGCGAGTGGTGCCGTACAGTACGGCATGCAGTACAACACGACACACATACATGCATGCATGAAATTCCTGCATGCACTCAACACGGGCAGCAGCCCAACCCAACCTGCTTCACCCCCCCCCTTCTCCTCCCTTCCCATGTCTTAGGATAGCCCCGTCACTAATGCCGGTACGGGATCCAGCCTCAACCTGATGGGTCGAGTGGAATGCGATGCAGCGGTGATGGCGGGGGATGGCAGGTTCGGGGCGGTGGGGGCCGTGGCAGGTACGTGCGTGTGTGTATGGGTGTGTGTATGGGGTGGGATGGATTGGAGTGGCGGGGGCGGGGGGGGAGGGGGGGGGAGGGGGTTGGGCGGGAAGGAGAATATATGTATGTATGTCAGGGCCGTGAGCCCCGGGGGGCCCGAGGCGGTTTTGGAGGCGGTTTTGCATTTCATAACTGGAGAGTAGAAGGGGGGGAGGGAGAAGAGAGGATGGAGAGTGCTCGGGGGGACGAGCGAAAGGGGAGCGGAGAGCTAGGCAGCTACCACCGTCAACGTGTTCCTCCTGCGTGTCCGTCTTTCTGTGTGTCCATGTGTGTATGTACGGCTGAGGGTTATTGTACGGCTCCGTTGCTGCTGTGGCTTCTTTATTGTCCGGTACGGCACGATCCCAATTACAAACACACAATCAGCTCAAGTAATGGCGGCCTCAACCCCCCTGGTCGCTGGGACCCCTTCTCCCCCTCCACCCCCTCCACCCCGCCAGGTGTGTATAACCCCATTTTGGCGGCAGCTGCCCTGACCCGGGACGCATCGGAGCCCCTCAGCTGCGGTCGAGTACGGCCCATGTGGGTTTTGACGGGGGCCCGGGGCGGGAGGAGGGGCGAAACGTGCGGCAGGTTAGGTCCCCTTATGCACATAAGATATACATACATACGTATACATACATACATACCCCCTCACTTTCCCCCTCTCCATTCTTTTTCAGTTGAGGCAGTTGACAGTTTGGACTTTTTGGCAGTTTTGGTAGTTGTTTTTTGCAAAAACAGTTTATATAGCGATTGCGTGTATATGGGGGTTATAGGGGGGTATATGGGGGGGTATAGGGGGA